ACGTTTCCTAAAGCAGATGGTGCCTTACGACCCTAACCAGAACGAAGAGAGATTTAATCTGGAATCTGCGAGAAATGCTTTAAGCGATCTCCAAATGCGGTTCACTATTGACAAATACGAACTTGCAAAGCACTTGATTGCCGAGAGCAAGATCAATCCTCTTCAAGCGAACTTTTTGAAGACTCCTGAATTCTTTCAAGTTGCAGACAAGATCACAGACACGTTCTTTTTCGAATCCAGATCAGCCGAGGCGATTTTACTCGGACTCATCCATGCGGCCGGCGATGAAGAGAATAAAATGCTCGAGTCTCTAGCTCGAAGCATAGGAGAGTTCGAGGTAATGGGTGAAATGAAAGTGAACCCCTTTCTAGGAAAGGCAGAAAGAGTTAGTGAAGAAGAGAAGGCTAAGAGATTCAATCGTCTAAGGGAGATTGTACTTGCGCTTGAGCCTCATCTTCTCAATTTGTGGATGGAAAGGGGTGTGAGCCCGGAGCAGGCACAAGAGATTTTGCAAGTGGATTTTAGCAGTACTCGTTTCCTGGATAACTCGCATTTGTCGGTGTACATCCATTATCTCGACATGACACCCCGCTACAAAAACTTTGGTCTAGTTAGAATTTTGCTTCTCGAGACGGAGAAACATGGCGTGGGCCAACATCAAATTTTATTAAAGTTGCTGGATCTTGGAGCACTGACCAAACCCGAATCTTTCCACGGAAAGATATTGGATAGCATATTTTTGTACTGGGATAGGCAGCGTGTTGACCATGCCCAACTCTACAAGATTTTGGTACCGGATCTCTCTATCGGTATTGAGTTTATTGAAGATGAAAGGTTTGGACCACTTACTTCAGCAGATTCAGATTCAGATCTCAAAACCTCTATGAGAAGTTGGCTGAAGTGATTGTTACTTCTAGATTGGTGGAGAGTAAGAATGGAGTTGAGCGAGTGGCGTTTAAAATGAAGCCTGCCGACTATATGCCACCCATCCCTCAAAGGGATAAACAATTGGCGGACGTTCTTGCTCTGAAATTGTTTGGAACTGCGGAATCGTCCTACAATAAAATTAATACACATTTCAGACCGAGTGTACGACCACCTACGAAGCAAGAAAGCATTATGATTTTTACTGAAGATATTTTCGAAGGATTGCGCAAGCATTGGAGTCGTCATGGTCTTACCCCTGACAAAGTGTTTTCTCTTATGGATTTGGACAAATTGACAGATGAACAACTTTTAAGCAGCCTTCATCTCTGGACTTTTTTGTGGTATACGACTGAGCATCTCAAGACATACAAAGCGAGAGGCAAACAAATGTTCGATGTATTGAAACGAAATTTGAATGACGAAGAGATTGTAAAATTGCTTGGAGAAATGAACACGAAAGAGTACGATATTTTTGTTCCGCTGTCATTGCGTATGAATGATCATTGGAATTCTCGTGATGAATCCTTAGTGAGTCTCACCAAGACTCTTGATTTGGAAATCGATCCTCTGTCGAACCCTAAAATTATTCCCGTGTTCTATTACTGTATTTGTTCTGGAAAGACCCACCTCGAGAATATTTTGTTGATGCGCGAGTTTATGGCAACGAAATATCCTGAAGAAAACATTGATTATCTTTTAGTACAACGACAGCTTAAAGCAAAACCCTCTCACAAGCATGTATTAGCTGAATTGTGTTTGCGCCGTCGATAAACGAAGGTCTCAATTTCAAGGATATCACGATTCCTAGAGTTCGCGGTGCCGATGATTTGCCGTCTAAGTATGAAAGTGTGATGAATTATCGCAAAAAAAAAAAGAATTCGGCTTGAAGTTGCAGCTCGACAAACCGAGACTCGAAGAGTCGTTTTCCCTCAACCCTTCGAAGAACTCGGCATATTACGTCAAGAAGGAGAACCATCCCCAGCTTAAGCCAAAGACTGATTAGAACAAGTCGATTTAGTCGTTGAAAACAGCGCATAAATATGTTTAAATTAATCACAATCTCTTGTTTCAATTTCTTTCAATGATCATTCTGTTCGCTTTTGATCGGCAACACAAGTGAAAATTACGTGCCATTTAACACAATAACAGCGAGGGAACTAGCTCAAGTCTCAGCGACAATATGGAACGTAGCGGCCTCGTTCACCTAATGATCAGTTGCTTCCAGAGTCTGGTTTTGCTACAGAAGTTTTGCTCTCTTGGTAAATCTGCTTGCTTGCGAACATCCATCCATATCTGCAATAACCTTTCGATTGTCACTTCAGTCACTCCTTGAGAGCTTGAGGATCCTTGTCGTTCTCACGTTCAGCCGAATAAAGTTATAGCTACTGCGGCGATACTTTAGCAGTTTCAGCCAGGACTCTATGAGGGAGGGAGATTGTGGACTCTAGCGAAATTGATGTTGTTGATTCAGGCAATGACAATTCATTGCAATTGATACTTCGCAGCGGGAAAGATCTATTCATGTCAAAGTCTCCGTTAAATAGGACCAGCGGCATCGCAGCAGCTCAATCATGCATTTATGCAGCGCTTGCGAAAAGTCGACAAGTAATATATATCCCTTAAACATCATTTTTTCCTGGCTCGAGTGGTCAGCATTTGACCGTCAAGCAATGTTTTTTTTTGTTTACACGTCAGCATTAATGCTGCTGCATAAATGAACACGTGCACCATGCTTTTTGCAGCAACTATCTTGTACTCGTGCTATGGAGTAATGCGGATCGTTTTTATGTATGCACAATCGATAAACTCGTCATAGCACATTCCCAAACAGTGAAAGCGCGATCAAGTGAGAAATAGCTTCCAGCTGAGACAAAAATGGAGATTTGAGTAGACAGGAAGAGCAGCTTGAAGGAGAACCATCAGAACTGTCATTATAGTTTGTAGAGTTTTTTATGTCCATCCTCCCTTTACAAGATAAGATACATTCTATGAGTTGGCGCATGTTGTGCCTGGTGACGTCGTCAACCACTTTTCCTGCTCGCGTCTGGAGTACAACATGAACTCACATATCAGGAGGATCAAATTCATTTTAAGTCGTCGCTACTCCACGCTTTTGTGTGGCATTCCACCCATCCTCTTCATGTATTCCAACGAAATTTCGCTTACGATATGCTGCTTTGACAGGTTGTCGTTGCTAGTTCGATTTTATAGATGCTGGACGGCGTCACAACACAGAGCTTGTGCCATATTTCCTACTAGCAGTGCCGAAAAGATCTCTACGGGATCGGTCGCGTTCTGAGCTCAACGACTTCACTAGCACTGTAATGGAGGTGACAGCATCTTGAGGTCCGTGCAGGCCCTGGCAGCCAGCAAAGTGCTGACCAAATTTACATATGAAAAGCCACCAGGATCTGTGTGCAGCAACCTTCAGCTTTACTGGTCGAGAATTGTGACGCAGCCTATCACGTCAAGTGGTGTGAAGAGGAACCCCAACGATGATCGTCCCAGCGCAGTTCAAGTATCACTTCACGCAGTAGCTCACCTACATGCATGGCAGAGAGTTGCTACGTGGAGTGTTAGAGAGAAATGATAGAATCATGGTTTCTACTTGTGTGAGAGAGGACCCATTGAGCAAGTTGTCACACACACCGATGCATCCGTTACTCAGAAGCCTATCAAGATTTCAAAATATGTAACTCCAGAAGAATTGACAATACCCAACGGAGAGAGAGAATCCACTTGCTTTACGCCATGCAAAGTGATCAACCCATATCCAAGCGAATTTTTTAATACCAGGACTTCTCTGGATTGGAATAAAGAAGACAAATTTAGTCACAGGGCCACGACCAACGCGCTCCAGCACTCGAATTTGGTACCCCAGGACCTTGATTGTATAATTGTCGAGAAAGAGCGCAAATTTGTTTTCGAAGGAAGATCTGGGTGTCTTGCAGATAGCTCACGTTCTGAGAAAAAGATCTTTCCTAGCGAGGCTTTTTCGATCTAAATTGATTATGGCACGCAAGACAAAATGCTGGCGTCTTTGGCAAAAATGTTTACATCAACTTACATTGAGTGATATGGTTCTGTAGTTGCCAGGATTTCGCCATTCATCTATTTTGTAAAGCAAGAATACATACGGCTTCCGTTGAGATGGAAAAGTTGGTCACCCTCCACTTCACCAGCGAAGACCATTAAGAGATCCACATCAAAGGCCTTCAGGTCTATTCTATACAGCGCAGGTCCGAGACTGGCAAAACATGGGGCAAAGGTGTTTGTTCGTTGTTACTATTTCTAAAGCTGTACCTGAGGCGTCCAAGATTTTGACTCTGGTCGAACCAAGTCGACATGCAGCTGAATCAAGAAGCGTAGCCGTCGCGATCCAGTCGTCCTCCCCCGAGAGATATTTTGCTTCGCCAAAAATGGACCGACCCACAAAGCCTTTACCAATGATTCTCGTGCGCTTCCCAACTAAACAGCAGAACAACCATCGAGCGAAAGCTTGAGCTAAGAAGGCGAAAAACTTCCGACAAAGTCGCTTCCATATTCCGAGCGTCAAAGCCGTTATCTTCCCTTTGCTCGGTTAGATTGGCCTGAACAGCTGCTACACCTTACTCGGCTTCCACTAGTGCGTCCGCACATGTATCGTAGTAAAAGACTATTCACAGACTATGCTCACACTTTCTATAAAGAATCTCTGATAAAAGTCCAGAGATTCGCGCGTGATGGGCTCGAGCTAAACTTTAAAACTCAAATTTGAATTGTTGATGAGAATTATGAAACTCGTTCTTTTGGATAGCAACAACGTAAAAAGTAAAGAGCACTCACTCGATAAGCTACCATCCATTTTGCTCGGCCATGTATATAAAAAACAGATTAATATCGGTCTACGCATTTTTTACTAAGGCAAGAAAAAAGGAAGCGTTTCGTGCTCCACCCTTGTTGGAAATTTTATAAGCGCCTCACCGAAGTCTTGAAATCTTATATCCGCGGGTGACTTGAAGGTTGCACGGCTGTGGTATCAATATAGTCAAGCAGTTTTCTTTTTACAAAAAGTTTAACTGTAAATGAAAAACATTTATTGTGATCAGATACATTCAGTGTATCAAGTCTGGTCCATAGGATACATACGTTAATCTAATCTGGTAATGGTGCGATAACAAGGACAACTGATTTAGACTGAGTTGAATTATGTTATTCGGTCGTTGAAACTGGAGTTGTCGTTATAACTTGAATTTG